AAATCTTCAGATAACTCTATTATCTCTATCCTGATTCAGATGATTCCATTTGCAGTTGATTCACATGGTGAATAGACAACATTTCATTGTTATTAGTCTTCTTGTCAACCTTATCGAGTGATTCCATATCCAACCAATGCCCTTCATGGCTTATTTTGCTCCTAAAACTTGCCGGCTGCTGAGAGAAGCCTGAAGCAGCCCAAGCACCCAACAATTTTCAGGACTAGGTAAAGGTAAGGAACGACTAACCAATGCTGTATTTCATTGCTGGTTCAAACCCACCAAAATTTTCTTTTGGTTTTTCCTTTTCTTACAAAGGCAGAGCTGTAACTTCCAATCCAACATCCGTGAGAATTTGTGAGGATCTATTAGGATAAATATGTAAAGACTTAATTTATGAGGATTCATTAGTGTGTGTATTATATATATATATATATATATATATATGTAAATTTTTAAATTTATATTAATTTGTAAAAGCTTGATTTTATATGTGATTTGAGTTAATCGTTGTGAAAACTGTTTTGATCTTAAATTCGTATCTCATAAATATAAAATTAAGTTTCTAAAATAAGTCAATACCGTAATAAATCTTCACAAATTTTCAGCATGGGATTGGATGTTACAAAGCATTACAATTTAAAATCTTCCTTAAAGTTTGTTTGCTGAGTTAATTACGCAGACCCTTTCATCTGCAAATAAAAGGGCGGACTACTTTTATCTACCAGGAAATCCTCTTTCCTTGGTAGTATTCAGCGTCAATACCTTCGTTGACTAGATCAAGGTCTATTTGATCAAGTAGCGAAAACCAAAGCCAAGGTGTCGTCAACCATGGTAAACGACTCATTATTGTACGAAGTCAGCAAGATTTGGTCAAATCCTCTTATCTTAATATGCCAAATTCCAAGTATACTTTATTGAATAACAAAGTTATCTGCTGCTTCTCATCTTTGGTTGCCTCTTTGTTTGTTGTTGAGATCTCACCTGTGACCAAATACAAATATTTGACTAATAATAACAAATATTTGCTTTACCCACAGTTACATAATTTGATTATAGAGTGTTATACTCTTAATTTCAATGATAAAAATTTAAATTTCGGTAGTTTTAAGTATTAAAAGAAAATTTTCTAGATCATTTTAACTCTGAGCGGAGTTAAATTGATCTTTTCTGAGATATATTTTTTTTTACTAGTGGTTAGAATTCAATTTCTGACATTTTAAAGTACTAAAAAAAATTGAGTATGTGACAGAGAAATTGATATACACTGTAAAAAAAATTCTTCTTCCGCCTCTTGACTCTTAAATTTAATCTCATATTTGGATTTTATCTCTCAGAAGTTGCCTGGTTTCTCTTCAAGCAACAGAAATGAATCTTGAATATAAATATTATTTGTATAAATTTAAATGTACAGTTTTTTTCTTCTTTTGCTTTGAAATTCAAGAAAAGAATTTGATGATCCCATGTTGTTATTCCTATAAATTCTATGGCAGTTCTTCAATATGCGTCAACTTCACACATGCATTACCATCTTCCTCTGCAATTTCAATCCTGTATGAGTATCGGCCTTCCCGTTCTATTAGAAAACCTGAAACTGTCTTGCAGCTTATGAAGAACATGCAACTCACAACTGTAACAAGAACGACAAATGTGGAGTATAAGTGAGCAATTAAAATCCCTTCTAAAGCCATTGGAAAGCTGGTCATATTACCAGTACGATCAGCTCTCATCACAATGCGGTAATGGAATAGGGCTTCAATGGCTGCCAGGACCAGATTGACATGTACTGCCAATGTCAAAGCAGTTAAAGTTCTCCTCATCAGACACAAGCCTTGAAGATTGCCAAATCCACCAAATCTTTCCATTCCTGATGAAACCAATGCTAAGTTGTATATTATGAGGGCATTGGCAAGAATGATAGAATAGAGAACAGCCCTAGCAGCTGACAGGATAAAGAGAAGCCAGTTGGGGGATGAGAATCCAAACCCTTAAAGAAAATTGAAGGCAAAGAATGGGAGAAAGAAGGCTGTTGTATTTGCTGAGATGAGCAAAGGAAATTACATGTGTGTGTGGCTAGGAGAGGCTTGCAAAGGGATATAACTGAAGAGAAAGAAGGTGGCAAGTTGGGTTTCTGAGAAGTTGAATTATGGAGGATTTGGCTATGAGGAGGTGAAAAGCATGAAAAATGTGTTCAAATGGAGGATTGATCTTCAAGATGATATTTCATACTTTGTATGTGTTCTCAATTTCTCAAGATCAACCTATAAATTTAACAAATTATTTTCATTTTCAACTAAATTAGAATCAAACCAAAAAAAAAAAAAAGTAAAAGAAATATTTGCTAATAATTTACTTTACCATGGTGCTCTTGTATATTGAGTAGGGCAAAGCCTCTTATTTAATTATGCTTGGATTGATTCTTTGCTTTGAAGAAAATAAATAATAATAACTCTACAAAAGACAATATTAAATCATATCCATTCAAAGGTTGTCCTTCCCTCTTGATCCCATTGTTCTATACTTTCTTTTATCTATAATTAGGTGCTATTTTAACATGTTAAACTCCTATTTTCATTTGTATTATGATTTAAATTAACAACATAATTAAATAATCATTTATAAATCATACAAGATTAAAACATACTTTACATAATTATCAATGTTGATTTTTTTTTTTTTTTTTGGTGCCAGGGAGCAGGTGATTCTACTAATGAATTAATCTAGACAAATATATATATATATATATATATATAATTATTTGATATACTGTTAATTTAATCTTTTAAATAAAGGATAAAAAATTAGCACATGTGCCATTTATTTTTTAATTATTTTTTGTACTTTTTAAATATATTTTAAAAAGTATTACTCTATTAATATTGTTTTTGAAATTTTAAATTTTTTTTGACAGTAAATAAAATAATTTATTTTTATAACTTTATTAAAATCAATTGCCTAAAACCATTTGAAGAATAAGAAAATATTTGACTCAAAGTAATCGCTCTGATAGATTTAACGGTTCATATATTCATATCGTATTTTATATAAAAATTATTTATCATAATTTATGTCGACACGAAAACATAAAATATTATTTTTTTTATTTTATTAAATTTATATATAATTATTATTATAATTTTAAATGTGTTACTTTCATATTTTATTTTCGTATTATATTTATATCATGTCATCGTATTATGTTTTAAATTATTAAATTTATTTTTTATATAAATTTTAAATTAAAAAAAAAAAAACGCAAACTCAAATAGTTTTTTTTAGAGAATTTAATATTCTGTAACATGTAATGTTTTCATGGTAATTTAATTTACTTTCTAGTTGGATCAAAGATGCTGGTGGGTTAAATTATTTATTTATACATATGTATTTCTTAAAAACCTTTATCGGTAAATAATCTTAATCGATTTCTGACTTTCTATGGCTTGCCCTGCAACATTATAACAAATTATTTTCTTCAACTTTTGAAATTAATTGAGATGCCTTATGCATGTGTTTGTTTTTATTTCTCTAATAAGGATGATTGGGATTGTTCTAAAGAAAAGATGGGCAAAAATGCAAAAGAAGCAGAGTCTTGAATAAAAATCTATCCATATATACAAAGTCATTTTTTACAATTCTCAAGGCTTTAACAATGGCATTCCTCAATCAAATGGTTAGTATTTCTACATTCCCCCCTTCACAAAATTTATAAAAAAAAAAAAAGAAAAACATGGTTAACAAAGTGGAAGGCTAAAACTAACAAAACAAAAAAGAGGGTAAAAAATGATACAACAACTAGCCAACAGAAATGCACATCATCAGCAGCAACATCCTCAGCTAAATCCTATTACATCACATTCAAACTTTGAAGTTTTGAAATAATCTACCAAATCTCAGACTTCAGCAGTTTCAAGCCATAACATCATCCACAATATTGGTTTCATCAAGTGTTCATTAACTAAAATATAAACGCAAAAGAAAGTTGATAACTTAAAAGCATGAGTTCCACTTCTACATGAATGATGGCAAAAGGAAACACCATCTATTGTCTCTCTCAAATTTTCAACGCTGAGATCATCTCCATCTCCACGGCACCCGTAGTTCTGCTGAACAGCTTCAAATCTCAAGATCAAACACCTTCAAGCTATAAATCAAAGAAAATGAGTAACATTTGCAATTAGGAACCGTGCTTTTAAAGAATACATAACAGACCATAATCACAGTAATTGCCTTTGAATAGCAGTAAACTTGAGAAATACGCAATAAAATATGGTCCATTACTTGACCCAGCAATAATGAATGCTTTACTTTATTAACAAACATAAGCAAGCATACTGCAAAAATCACACCTCTAAGCAAATTAGAAAGTAAAAATCTCAGGAAGATAAAGTTTTGTATCTTACAGCCAGAAAATTCATTCTTAGCAATCAACATCACATAAAAAAGAGACAGGTAACAACCAATAATTCCCTAATTATATATTAAAAAGGCTCAGCCTCTACAATCGATCTTCAATGATATGGGAGAATTGCATGTAAAACAAGGGAATTATTATGTTAAACTCAGCACAAGTCACAACTAGCATGTATAATATTCGAAATCTGATGAAGGAATAAAGACCATAATTACAAGAATATTACCTAGCCTACTGCAACATCTAGTTATCTCCAATGATTTAGATACATGAACATAAAAACAGAAATATATGAGCAATGTTGTATCATATGCACATCATTTAGATACATGAACATAAAAACAGAAATATATGAGCAATGTTGTATCATATGCACATCAAAACAAGTATTACACAAACCCACACGTTCAGAGAATAAAATTCAGGGATATTTGGATAATGAGATATTCAGAGAACATTATTAGAAAACCGTTGTTTGGGAACTTACTTATTTCATGCAAAATTGAGACAATACTCCAAGGGAACAGAACCAATTAACAAATTCAGGAAATGAACTAGGAAAGGCCGAAGTATTGATGACTGCAACCCCAACAGTTGAGAGAGATATCAAAAGGGAACGATGAACTGAGGTTTTGTAGTTACTGATTTTTTTTCTAACAGAGTTTCTGCTATAAGAAGAGTCAGATAAGTCACTCTGAGGTAAGCCTTCTCCTCTTCCCATAATCAGCATCTTTAGATCTTGAGCGATGCTCCTCCTCCTGTGATAATCGTGACTTGCTGTGAGTCCTTGATGACCGTCCCCTGTCCCAATCATCATCATGCTCTGGCTCACGGTCCCTGTACCTATGATGATCTGCATATCTGTCTCTGTCTTCCCTATATCGATCCCTATCCCTGTCGCGATCACGTTCCTTATCACGCTCGCGGTCACGATCTCGAGAGCGCTCCCTATCCCTGTCACGCTCCCTATCACGTTCTCGACCAATGTCTCTATCATCCCGGTGCCTTCTTTCTGGCCATTCCTGACCATGGCCCATATCCTTCTCCCTAGGTATGTCCCTATCATACCCTGGTTCTCTATCATCACGATACCTTCTTTCAGATGAACCAGACCACTCCCTTTCTGACGCTCTATCTTTTTCTTTCATGGGGTTTTGCCTACCTCCTCTATCATGACTAACCTCACCATATTGATGGTCAGATGCAGCTTCCTCCCCATAACTAGACTCTCCAGCTCTCCCACCACCATGCTCATCACCACCCCATCCTCCCATGCTAGGATCTGACCACATTCCCATATTAGGCCCATCTAAACCACTTGTGGGCATCATCCCCATACCATTCATGGGCATACCTCTTCCAAAAAAGGCAGGGTTAACATGAGGAGCCACTCCAGGCAAACCAACTCCTGCAACAGGAGGAAACGAAGATAAAATCCCCGAAAATGGGGGCGTTGGAGCACCAGGAAAGCCTCCATAACTGCCCATTCTTCCCATCGGCCCACCAAAAGCAGGATCAAAACCTTGACCCATCATAGACTGCGGGTGCATGAGAGGAGGCGTCGGACCGATACCCTGTCCAAATCCATTTCCACCATTTCCCATGATACCTCTACCACCCATCCCACCAGCCCTATTCCTCATAGGACCAACTGGACCTCTATTTCCCATTCCCTGAGCATTGCCTCTTCCCCAATTCCCTCTCCCATAACCTCTATTATTATCCCCACCTTGATAATTCCCACCAGTTTGAATGTTACTAGCACCAGTCTTACCCCCAGTATCATTAGGGCCCCTCCTAGCTTGCGGAAGGGCAGACTGTGCCATCTGCTGATTCCTATTTAACTGAGCCTCTCCCATTTTCTTAACAGTAAATGGCGATGCAAAGGCAACAACGCAAGGCCTTCCATTAAACATATGCCCATTCATTCCCTCCTTACAAGCTGTGGCTGCAGCTGGATCATAAAACTCAACCTGACAATACCCTTTTGACTTCCCACTAGCTTTCTCATCAAAAAACTTCACTTCCTTCACAGGCCCATACTTGCACAACTCTGACTCCAGTTCAGAATCTGTTGTCCACCAATGCAAATCTCCAACAAACAATATCGTCCCACCACCTCCACCCCCACTTGCAGCAACACCAGGACCAGCAACAGTACCGGCAATACCCACATTGCCACCCCCATTCCCAATCATAGGACCACCACCACCACCACCAACAACACCATTCACACTCCCGCCTCCTACACCTCCTTGCCTCATCAATCCCTCATTCTCAACACTTCCCATATTCCCGATGCCATGTCCCTGCTGTCCCATACCACCTACACCACCTAAACTACTATTAGTATTCCCACTCTGCTCCCCAGCTGTCTGATTCAACTTAATCGATGACTGTGCTAATTCAACCCTAAGCCCACCTCCACCACCACCAACGCCCGCACTAGGTCCCTTCACATCACCACCACCTCTAAACCCTTGACTCTCATAAGAGACTCTGGAATCCCCTCTTTCACCACCACCTGCAACCTCAGGAATTGAAACACCAGTGTCCCGGGCACCCATTGGTGATCCACCAACTTTCCCCCCACTATTATTATTATTATTATTATTTGCGCCATTCTTAGTTTCCTCATTTCTAAACCCAAAATCTTCGTTTTTTCTTAAAGATTGAAGAAACCCTTCACCAACATTAACATCATTGTAAAGATCTTCATAATCATCATCTTCTTCACCTAAAAAACCCTCGTCAGCAACGGCCGAGATCGCTTCGTTTCTATGGAACTGATCCGTCTGTTCCCCTCCCTCTCCTTCATCCATCTTTTCCCCTCAAAATTTCCAACAAAGAAATATGCAGAAAAAAAGGAAAAAGCTTTCACAAAATTAAATCTTTTCTCCTTAACTAACGTCAAAGCTTTGAGCTTTTTCTGATTCCTAGAAATACAAAAAAAAAAAAAGGCCTAAATTTAACAAAATTAACTAGAAATTAATTGAAATTAGAGAGCCAATTTGGGGATTTAAGGATCTTACCAGGGGGTTGAATTGAGAGACCAAGGAGAGAAAATAGAGAAGGCCGCGAAACCCTAATTCTTAAAGTGTGAAATTACATGGAATTTTTTTTTTATTTTTCTGGGATTTTCATTTTCTTTTTAGTAGCGGTGCTATGCTAACGTGCGCAGCCATGCATGTTGCGCTACTATTTGATTACGGTGTATTTCAATTTTTTTCAAAAGAAAGAAAGGCGAATTTCCTTTAACGTCTTATAATAATATTTATTTAGATTCATTTTTTCTTTTTGCCCAAAGATTTTGATGCATTTTTCCCAAAAAAAAAATAAAAAATCGAAGCATTTAATTACAATTTTTTGAAATTTTCTTATAGCCAAAACTTTTTCTCTTGTTGTAACTTATTAGATTCCCTATTTTTTATTTTTATATTTTATTTCATTAATTTATCTCTTATTTTCAATATATTTTTCACTTTCAACTAAAAATAAATCGTAAAAACATAAATGAAGTATTAATCATTATTTAATTAAAATTTCAATATTTTTAAAATAGTTAAGTTCCAATATTATATTTATATGATTTAGTAGTATATATCTATTATTATTTTTTATGAAAATATTGTAGTTTGAAAATAAAAAAAATAATTGTATGTGGTGAAATTTAAAATTCATATATAATTTTTTAAAAATAATTTTATAAATCAACTGAAATAAGCTTCCCCTTTATGATTGAAACAAAATCACTTATTTTATTACTCAGAAATCAGTTTTTCATGCATTACAAAATCATTGATTTCATCTAGGTATCCAGATATCCAAGAGCACGACATCATACGTTTAACAGCCAGTCTTGCTAATCTATGTGTGGCACCATTGGCTTCTCGATGAACATGAACCACCTTCCATTCTGCAAACTGTGTCAATTCCATCCATATTTCCTCCACCAGATTTCCAATTGCTGATAAGTTTCTTTCCTTATGAGTGGTAATTTGCCTTACAACCCGTAGAGCATCCCCTTCCAAAATGACTCGCTGAAAACCCATTCTTCTTGCATAGTCTATTGCTTCAGCTGCAGCTGTTCCTTCTATGATCTCAAAATCATATAAACCTTGGATAACATGATATCTTGATCCCAGGACTTTTTCCTCTGCAATCTCTGGCGATGATATCTATAGCCCCATTAAAATTTATCTTTATCACAACTATTTCAGGGGCCCGCCATTTCAAAGTTCTCCTTGCTCTGTCCACTTGTTGTCTTTCCTATGCCCGCTGGTACTCTCCCAGGTTATGGTTTACATACTTCATTGTGCACTGTCCCGCCCTATTCACATTATTCTTCACTGATCCATTCCTATTTACATAGATTGCCCAACAGGTAAGAATCATCTTCCCAAAGCTCTCCACGTTCATGCAGCTTGCCATACTAACTATCAACTCTATCGTGCTTGGTTTATGCATATTTTGCCAATCTCCTGGTTGCTGTACAAGGTTCCAGACCTCCCTTGCATATTCGCAGTCCCTGATTGCATGTAAAATTGTTTCGTTTTGCATGTTGCATTTTGGACATGTCGCATGTTCTCTGATTCTTCTTTCTCTTAGTGCCTCGTATACTAGTAAGAAGCCATGACATAGTTTCCATGCAAACGTCTGCACTTTTCTTGGTATTGGGAGTTTCTATATTAGGTTCCAGAGAGTGGTATCCCTATTGACTCTGGTTCTTGTATCACCGTCTCCCAGTGTTTCACTGTTCTCTCTTGAAGCCATGACGTGGTACCCACTCCCTACACTATATTCACCATCCTTTGTGTAATGCCACAACAGAACATCCCTCTGGCTGCTTCTACATATCGGTATGGATCTTATCTTAGCAGCCCACTCCTCCAAGAACATCTCATTGATTTTATCCTCATTCCATTGAACATTATTCCAGTCAATGAGCTCACTAACTCTTTCTTATCCAGGCGAAAAATTTGTCTTCGGAGATGGCGTGAAACAGTTGTCTTTTGGTATCCATTTGTCCTGCCATACCTTTATTTGTTCACCATTACCAACTCACCACCGCAGGCCCAGCTCAAGCACCTCTCAACCCAGCCATATACTCCTCCAAATATAGGATGGTGCCTTCCCAATGTCAGCTTCAATGCAATTATATATGGTTTGGAAAGTATTTAGCACTAAGAACCGTATACACCAAAGAGTTAGTATTTTGTACGAGTCTCCACCCCTGCTTCGCTAATAGGGCTTTATCGAACAGCTCCATGTCACGGAAACCCATCTCGCCTTCCGTCTTTGTTCGACACATTCTTTTCCAAGCCACCCACCGAATTCCGCCCTTGTCCATCGATTGCCTCCACCAATATTTGCTTATGGTCATATCTATCTCATGGCATAAACTTTTGGGGAATACAAAGCACGACATAGCATAATAAGGCATAGATTGTAACACCAATTTTATAAATACCTCTTTCCCTCCTTTTGAAATCCATCGGTTACTCCATTGTTTGATTCGCCTTTCGATCTTCTTCACTATGTCTTTGAAGGCCCTTTTCTTTTCACTACCAATAAACATCGGCAAACCCAGTTATTTTTCTGGACTAGATGTGGCTTGTATTCCAAAGGTGGTTTTGACTGATGCAAGTGGGTAAGAACTGTTTCAATCTATTGACAAGGGTTTTGGCAATTATCGTATAAAGAACATTACGGTCTGAAATGTGTCAATTTCCAGGGATTACCAATTTGGGGATTTGGATAATATGAGTTTCATTTATGCCATCAATTCTACCATTCCCATTAAGCACTTTTAAACAGAACTCGGTACTATTGAATTATTGAGTTTATACTTAGTAGTATGTCCATGAAAATACCATTGATATTGTCTTATATATATATATATTTTTATAGAGACAGGTATTTGATTTGGATTAATTTTATTAAATTAATTTATGCTAAAATCACTTTATTATAGGATCAATATTGTTTAAGTTAGATAATATTAAATTAAGAGTGTAAATAATACATTAGTACTCGTAAACTATTCGGGTTCGATTCGAAGAAAACTCGAATTCGATTCGATTATTATCGAGTCGAGCTTGAGCTCAAATAACTCAACTCATCGATTGAGCCGAATTCGAGTATTTTTATATCCGATTCGAGTAATTCGTGAGCTTAATCGAACTTTTATATTTAAATATATTTTTATTATTTTAATTAATAAAATATCTCGAATTCGAGTTTGAGCTCAAGCACAAATAATTAAGCTCTTATCGAGTATAAAATCGAGCTTATTTTTACATATTAATCGAGTAACTCGATTTCGATCACGAATCAAGCTTGAATTAAAAAAATAAAACTCGATCGAGTTCGAACCGAATATCGAGTTACGAGTTAGGAGTCGAGCTTAAGTTCGAGTTTCTTATTATATCGGCTTAATTACACCCTTATATTAAATATAAATATTCAACATCAAAGAGTATGTCATAGTGAAATGAACATAAAATTTACATAAAAGCAATTCATTTTTATCAATTGAATCAATTCATATCTTCCATTATTCAATAGGTCTGTAACAAGTGATATTAGAATCTATTCAATTCTTCACTATTATTATCTTACGTAAGATATCAAAATTAAGGTAAGTTCCAAGCAAAGTGGATTATTTTTTTTTTCTTTTTAACAGATGAAAAAACTAATTCAACGAAAACGTTGCATAATTGAATGAAAAAATATGTCATAAATCATGCATTAAAACAGTAGTCCAAGTATATAGAAACCCCTTAACTATAATTAAAAAATCATTTAAGCATTTTTTTATTATAATCAATCATCTCTAATATTTATTTGCATTTAATTAAACCTTTATTTAAATAAAAAATTAATAACTATTAATTTTTTATCAACTAAGATAAATTTTATGTGATATTAATAAAATAAATAAATGTTTACCACATAGTACAATTAATATATATAAAAATTAAATAAAATAATTTTTTATTTTTCTTTATTTTCTCTCTCTCACTCTCTCTAATTTTAAGAGTTCAAATGGCAACATATAAACAAAATGGAAAAGGCAAAGAATCTTTTTTTTTTTTTTTGTCTGCTTTAGAAGTCTACTTCGTCTCCACAAAAGCAAAAAATTTAAAGTCTTCAACTGATCTTTCAAATTCAAATGTGGATATCATCCATGGAACGTGGCTATATCATTAAGGCAACACAAACTTGCCATACAAATCACTCATTCCTTGACAAAACTGTCTATGTTCTCTTATGTAAGGATAGTCTTTGATTCTTAAAAGACGAATCCCCGATTCGTAGATTTATGTCCCATGTTTAACACAATCTAAAGGTACCGGTCAGGTATTGGTGTTTTCTAATAAAACAAAAGCATATTAAAATCTATCGTATGGTGTTTGTTATAAGTAGATATAATATATTTATGTATTTATATTACATAAAATATTAAAATTTATATATTTGTATCGTATTTTATATAAAAATTATATATCATAATTTATATTAATATAAAAATATAAAAAAATATATTTTTTATTTTATTAAATATATATAATTATTACTATAATTTTAAATTATATCATTTTTATATTTTATTTTCGTATCAATTTATATCGTATCATTATATTATATTTTAAATTATAATATTCTTATAATCTACGGTTACTCATTTTCTCATAAATTCAATCGACTTTCTTTAATTTTAGTATTTTTTTTAAGTTTCAATTCACTCTTATTTTCGTCCACATCTCCTCATAACTTAATAAAATCTAAATAATAAAATTTAAATAAATTTAAATTTAAATTAATTAATTTATGTAATATTTTTTAAAAATAACATCTAAATTCAAAATTAAAATTTTAATACATATAATTCTTTATTCTATCTCCAATATATATATATATATATATATATTTAAAACATAAATTTACTTGCTAGATTTTCGATGCCAACATAGAAACTCCAATGTTACCTAAATAAACGACGCGTAAAAGTCACATAATTTTAAGCATGTGAAAGTTTAAGTTATAATATAATTCGTGGTAAAAATAAAAATTATTTATTTTTATTTAAATTTATATATAATATTTTTGTTAATTTTAATTGTGTTTTAATACTTTTATATAATTTTGTGTTATATTTAAAATTATTTAACATAATTTTGGATAAATCTTTTTAATTTGATTCATTCCAATCTTGACTAAAAAAAATAATATCTATTAAAATCTACAAATTTAATTTTTTTTAGATCTTTTGATGTTTGATAAATATTTTGAATCTTGATTAATTTAAAATGAAATTAATCAAACCTTATAAAATGATAAATTCTCTCAATTTTTTTTTTTCATTCATAAAATTTAAAATCAAAATTTTACTTAAAAATTTTAAATTTTTTACCACTTAAATCAATAGATGTTGATAAATCTACAAATTTAATTATTACTTGTTAAAAGGTAGGCGAATTAATTTAACTTCTATTGTTTAAATGGATGTTCAAACAATTACATTTGGCTTGTTTTATTATTACTAGTAATTTATAAAGTCCAATTTTTGTTTATTTATTCATCAAAATTCAATAATTTTCTTAAGTAGCAACAGTCGCTGACCGGGTTTAGCTGTTGCACGTGCAACCATCATTGACAAAAACCGTCTATGTGTAATAAATGCGCAATAGAATCACGTTCTTCCAGTCATCTCTCACTGAACAGTACGCTAACATCGTCACGTCCACAAAATCCACCGGAACAGTCAACTGCAGAGTAATAAAAACATAAACTAAAAAGCACCCACGTGTACTACACTGTATGGTAACAGCCGTAATCCTCGTGTGAATGCACCAACAAAATTATAGGACTAGAACACTGGATCGCCTCTCTTTCCATTAAAAGTCGGCCTTACCCACCAAGAAACTTCCGGGCACAAAAATAACAGTAAAAAAAAAAAAAAACGGGGCTGAGTTGCCAGAAAAGCTCTCAGCCTAAAATATGAGTCTTGTAGAGGAAGATTGAAGAGAAATAAAAGAGAATACGTAGAGGATTTTGGTCGGTGCGAGAAACGAAGGACGGAGAACCAAACGCGACGCTCCGGAGTTTCTCTTCAACTTCTCCGATTCGATTTCAGTTTCCCAGCTGATACTTCTTTTTCCTTTCTTTTTCAATTGTAGTTTCTTTTTTTGGAGTACATTTTTTTTTGTTTTGTTTTGCGGCAATGTCCGACGAGACGTCGTCGTCTTCTGGAATCGTCTTAGAAGGAATTGATGACGTGGAAGACTACCATTGGGTGAGAACTTCTTGTTCTTCGGAGGATTGTTTGGATGCTGAGAAACTGTAGGGAAATAGAATACAGAGCATGCTTTTTTTATTTTTCGATAAAAATGTTTTTCTATTTACTTTAATATGGAAAGTTTGGTTCCTTGCTTTCTTTTACAACTGAATTTAGGAGAATAAAGAGAATGAAAATTTATTTACTAGAATCTTAGTATTGAACAAAGTTGGTCCTTTTTTTTTTATGGCTAAGAGAACAATAATATATGTTCTGTTGCGCTAAGTTTCTTAGTTGAGATAAATTTTGTATTTTTATTTATTACTCTTTCATTTTTAGATATTAAAGAGCTAAGACTGAAGGAAATATTATGAAGTTTCCATCAGTTTCCTGCATTTTCTTGGAGAGCAAACAGTTGTACTCATTCCGTTTTCTCATACTTCTTCAAACTTGTTTGTTTTGGTTGTGGTTATCTTAGAATTGTTTGGTAGCTGACAACAATGTGGTAAAGGACACGAAATTTAACTGTCTTCGTTATTTGTTTTGCTGAAAATTCCTAGGAAACTAACATAGAATTCAAAATTTTCATTCTTAACTTTAAATTATCTACTTTTAACTGGATAATGTATTGACTTTATTGGCACATTAAATTTTGGTCAAAATAAATAATAAAGAAAATAGCTGATATATATTGGTTATAATAGCTGTAATGACTGCGAATCTGCAACCAAAAAAAGCGATGATCTGTCCCTTTGAAGTTAGTCTTTGTTTAGAATAAGAGTTGAGGTTTTAGTTCATCTATGTGTTTTCTAATAATTTATGAAATATCTACTCTAGTTATTGTGCATATTTGCCTGCAAAGAGTTTGTGATTTTAAGATTATATTTGGGCTATTTAATGCACATTGGTTGAAGTGTAGGCAAATGAAGGAGTGGGATCATTGCCATGGGACCGATATAGTCATGTTTATGATCATGTGCAAAATGGAAACCAAGCATTCCGAGAGAATCGTTTTGAGGAGGTTCGACTTCTATTTGCATAATGGCTCTTTTAATTTTGGTTGCTTTCTTCCATTTTGTTGACGGTTTAATAGAATTTGTTTCCTCTGGCATGGTATTTTTCTGCTACGAGTTTCTTTGCATTTTAAACACTAATAAGGTAGTTTTATCTCTTTAGGTCTTGAAAATGGAAATGATAACCCAAATAGTTTGAAGGGCTTAATTAGATGGATCCTATTGATGTTCATGCAGGGTACTATTCATTGCATTGAAATGCCCTAATAGTATCTTTATTGGAGAACGATTATAGCAAATTGAATTTGTGATCTGCAAAATGTTTTGACTTGTTGCAATTGGTAATTGTCATTTTTCTTATTTGGAGCGCTTTCGTTACTAATTTCAAAACTCTGACACATATTTCTAGGGCAAGGATGCTGTGGGGTTGAAGTAGTTGTAGGGTAATTAAATAAGGAAAAGAAAAGAAAAGAGATTAATGGTTTGTATGCAGTCTTAGGATAGTAGATTATCCTTGTGAAAGGTTAAGAAACCACATCTTTAGGACTGTAGTATGCGGTATTCATCTTGCCTGTGGGGTATTAAGATTGACCTCTATCGTATGATAAACTTAAGTTTCATTTATGAATTTTCATTAGATGACTGAGTTTTTCATGAGATAGCGTACTTCAAAATGGTGATCATGGTCAAGGTTTCTTAATATGAGATTCTTAGAGGAGTAGGAAGAAAAGCGGACAACAGTTTTTTCTTGAGTTTAGCTTTTAAGGTAACTCCACATGCCTCATGCTTTGTTACTCATCTGGTTTTTCCATGTCTTTGGCCACAATCATTGAAAGATGGACTTGTGTGTATCTCTTGTGTTGGATGCCTCACATTTCTAAAGTTGCATATTGCTGCTATAGAAAAACTAGAATTTCCTAATTTTCATAAAGAAAAAAGATTGGTGAAACTGCTTGCACTAAAATCTTTGACTTGGGAGTGGTCTAGCATGAGAAATATATATATATTTTTTTTTGGGGGGGGGGGGGGAAGGGGGAGGAGAAATTAGGCTATAGTAAACACGTCTGTTTTACCCCCCCAAAAAAATCTATGTAACAAATTATCGAATCTTACGTAGATCTGGTTACATATTAAGTACCATGGTTTGGCTTCTATAATTTTTTTTTTCTTGCATTAGATTTCTTGAGTCTCATCATTGGGATTGGTTAAGGTGTGTAAATATTTCTGTGTATGACATCCAAAGTTTCCTAATAAATTGTTTTCAATGTTGTTTTGCACCCTTTTCTGTGCTTGTTTCTTCTGATGATTGAAACAACAATGGAAAAATTTTCATAAGAATTATATTTTTGGTTACTTGTTTATATTGTTGTTGTTCCTTTGCGGATAAATAGCATTCTTCATTCAGGCAATCAACAATTACTCAAGGGCCAATAATATGAAACCTGGTGATCCTGTTATTCTCGGTAACAGAAGTGCTGCCTACATGCGGTTAGGTTTTGTCAATATTTATTTTCATTGTGTTGCAGAGATGCATACATAAATAGATATTGATATAACATACATGCATATGCATGTATATACTTTTTTTATTCTCACACTCGTTTGGCTTTGCTTGAAGAAGTTCTGTACTACCAGTCAATTATGATGGAGGATTTGTGGCAATTCTTATGCAGGATTAGTCTATTTCTGAAACGTAGATCTCCAACAGCTTCTGAATATAGACCATTGAATGGGCTGGACATGACAACACTTGCTGAAGTATGCTGGTTGCTTTAATCCTTAAATGGCGCAGAAGAATATTTTGTACTTTATCACCCTTACAGACATTCTGAAAAAGTGAAACTTTTTAACATTTATTTCAGCTTGCTCTTAAGGATGCTGAGAGGTTAATAAGCTTGCAGAATGATGCAGTAAGATCCTATATCTTAAAGGCTAATGCTCTCATTTTGGTAAGTGATGGATTGCTTTATTTGCATTTTTTTCCCTCTTTTTTAAAAAATTTTTTTTATCAAGATTTATATAAGGGATCCAAGTTAAAAGTCCTATGGGCCTCTTTCTGTAGATCTTATTATGCTTAATAACACATGCACATGTATATGTCTATGCTGTCTTGGTTTCTTCAGCATTTATGTTGTTTTGACTATGCAGTTTACACATGCACATACAAAGGGGTCCAAGGCTCCAAGCTACAAGTCCTATGGGCTTCGCTAAGCACATCTCGTTATGCTTAATTTACACGTGTGCACGCACACGTACATGTCTATACCGTCTTGGTTTTCTCCAGCATGTGTTTTGTTTTGACCATGCAGTTGGAAAGATATGAAATAGCACGAGATATTATTCTTTCTGGTCTTCAACTCGATCCTTTCAGGTAGTTTATGATTTATTCTAAATTGACATCTATTAGTTAGAAACTTTTACAATCTGAATGATTCTTTTGTCCTGGTAATATATAGTGACATTCTCCGGGCTTCTCTTCGGAGTTTGGAGAGAATGCCTTCCAGTTTGATGCGGACTAGAGGCCATGAGGGCCCTGAACGCACTGATGACTTTGATTGCACACTTTGTCTGAAGTTACTATATGAACCTATAACAACACCTTGTGGGCATTCTTTTTGCCGCTCTTGTTTATTTCAGTCAATGGATCGTGGTAAGCATTTACGGTTGTTGATTCCAGTTCTTTTACTTTTTATCACTATACTATTATCTGACCTTGTACTAAAATGATAGGCAACAAATGTCCATTGTGTCGAACAGTGCTCTTCATCAGTCCTAGAACATGTGCAATAAGGTAAGCTTCTATCAGTTGAAGTGGCTTTGTTAGGATAATGAGAAGGAATCACGATCTCCAACCTCTGGGGTTTGCACTAGCTCATGTAATTAGTTGAGAAGCAATTATTCATGGTTTCCACATAGGAGATACAATAGGCTGCTAATGACTAGTTTACCATTGCCCTTTTACTTGAAGACTTTTGTTTTTGTTGTTCTCATGGAGCACAATGATAGAAGTTATGAATCCTAAGGTCCCAGTTGCTTCGATTGGTATATGAAAACCTTTTTCTGGACCCATTAATACATAAAGTAGTGTGCATATCTGCATATGTTCCATGATTACTGACCATGGAAATTGTCTTCTATCTGAACTTTTTAACGTTCTGCTATGTGCTAATTTCTGTTTCCTTCTTTGAAAGGTTTCAATACTGCTTTATCATGGTTTTCTGTTTTATGGACTACTATTAATAACATTACTTGTTTGATAGTGTAACACTAAACAACATCATACAAAAGAACTTCCCAGAAGAATATGCTGAAAGGAAGTCAGAGCATGATAGTCTGATCAATCTTGGTAATGATCTGATACCTCTTTTCGTCATGGATGTTGTCATCCCTTGTCAGAAGTTTCGACTCCACATATTTGAACCCCGGTACAGACTTATGGTGAGTTTCATATGTTGTCTAGTTTCATACATTATCTAATCTTAATAGTGTCAATCCAAATCTATGTTGGCAGTGGAAAATTTTGTGGCTTCTTACTATTCATATGAGCCTCTTGGGAGAGTTGCTCTTGTTCTAAATTCAAGCTGGGTTGAGTTTGCTGGCTGCCAGCAAGCTCTGTCCATTTCAATGTTATTTCCTCTTTCCTTTTAACATATCGTGGCAAAATCTTATATAAAAATTTCTGAATGTGACCTCTTAGAAGAATCATTCTGTCAGAAATTATTTGGTATGTAGTTCGGCAAGGCATACAGCGTAGTTAGCCTGGTAGTGGTTTCTCAATGATTATTTAATTGGTCTGTTTTTCTATTTGGTTGTTGAGGCAAGCAATAGCCTTCAAAGTAGATGCTCAACTATGTAACACCTTATGAGCTGTATTTTTGCTGTTGATGAGCTATAGGTTAGCAATTGCTAGTCACATGGTCATACTTTCCGTGCATCACATGTGGAAGCTGATTACTTCCTCTGTCTTAGGGGGATTGCTTTTGGATTTGGAATGCGGAAAAGAGAATTGTTAGCTCAGTTTTCATAATTAACAGCTGTCTGAGTTGTTCATCTTACCTTTAAAGCTTACTTCTACATGCATATTTTTTCCCTTGATCGTGAGGATTTATTTTTATTTGCTTGAAAACAGGTGAGGAGAGTAATGGAAGGGAATCACAGGATGGGAATGGTGGGCCTTTTTTACTGGTTCTTTGTTCTTCCTTTTGTCAAGGCATGTTGAATGGCCAAAAGTTCCTCACTATTTCTGTTTTTGGTTGGTCCATTATAAATGTAGGGCATCCGTGATCCTGCTACAGATACCATTGCTGATTTTGCTTGTGAAGTGGAGATCACTGAGTAGGTGGCTTGTACACCTTTTTTTTATTTTTTAATCCTAAAGCTTTGCAACATAGCTTATTTTTTAGAAGATTATGTTTTTAACTTTATGATCTTGTCACGTGCTCTAAATATGTAGATGTGAGCCACTTCCTGATGGACGCTTTTTTCTAGAGGTGAGCATTATCAACTTTCCTTTTCCTTTCATGCAATGACTTTTTTTCTGTGTTATATGCACATAAAGTTATAAAATAGCTTTTATTTATTTACCATTCCTCCATCTCAAAATTTTTGTTCCTTTTGGAAAGGCTCAAATTTTAGGAACAAAATAATAAAGATTATTCCTTAAATAAAATAATAAAATTTTTGCTTGGTCATAGTCGGGGTTTTAAGTTGCCCACAATATGAGAAATGTTGAGTACTAAGTCCTTAAATAAATGTTTATTGACCTTTCATGGTGGACAAATAATTTTGGATAGACGAATAAATAATGGAAGTACTAATTTTCATGCATCTAAACTAGAGTATCACTTCAAATCAAATGAATGTGATGAATGTATTCATATGGTTGCCTCTTCCTAGCTTGTGGTTCAGTCAAGATGAACTTTGAAAAAGAAATCTTACTTCTTTCTGTTCTTAACTCTTACATTTGCGTACTAATAATGATTTTTTATCTTCTTTCTCTATGATCAAAAGTGTCTTTATTCATAGAAGTTGAACAAGTCGTTTCCTTTCTTATTAAAGCTTTCTTCACACAACTTTTCTTTTGTTTAATTTAACAATGGCCATAGTCAATTAGTCATTGCACATTAGACAGGATTTAAGTAGGGAATCTTGAAAAACCTGTAGATAGTTTTGGAAAGCTGAGCTTCATTTTGTGATTTCACCTGAGGCAAAATGCTGTAGCCTGTACAACCCTCCCAAAAGGGTAAAATGATTTTGATTGCATCTATTTTGGAGGTTGCTTTGAGGAATCTGGTTTCACTCATCTGCAGACTATATTTTGGTTTGAATCTCCATGGATATATTCACCAATGAAATAAGTGGAGTTTTTGTATATTGCACCTAGCTTTAGAAACTTCTGTGAGGCTGGATACTTTCTAGTTGCTTGTTAGTAACTTGATGGTCATATCCTACAATCAGCGGCATGTCTTCCAGAATTGAACATCTTTTCTAATGCATTACTAGCTTAGATTTAGGTATGCGAGTAGATCACCAAGCTCTTCTTTTAATTATGAGTAACAGAAAGAAATTTGTGATTTTTCTGTTCAGACCATTGATTCAATAATATTATTTGCATCTTTCTGATTTTCAAGTTTTTTCAGCTGAACCTGTAAGAAAGTAAAAAGAGGCTCCTAGATAAAGCCTTTTTCCTTTTGGTTAATGATAGATAATTTGATCCATGATAAAACAGTCTCCTCTTCCATGCTTCTGATTTTTCTGTTCAGACCATTGATTCAATAATATTATTTGCATCTTTCTGATTTTTAAGTTTTTTCAGCTGAACCTGTAAGAAAGTAAAAAGAGGCTCCTAGAAAAAGCCTTTTTCCTTTTGGTGAATGATAGATAATTTGGTCCATGATAAAACAGTCTCCTCTTCCATGCTTATGTTGGACCCAAAATCTTTAGCAATCTCTGCCTCGTACATGATATGTTTATATTTAATTCTAGCAAAAAAAAACCATATTCATATATTTATATGAAGTAAATGGCATGCAGATTGAAAGTCGCCGGAGATTTCGCATCCTCAGATTTTGGGACCAAGATGGGTTAGTTTTCTCATAATTGGGTCATGTATATCATATGTTTTTTCTCAGTTTCTAATATTGATGCCTACTTGATTTTGTCGTGGGACTTCATACTTTTGTAATGTTTACAGATATCGAATGGCAGAGGTTGAGTGGGTACAAGACATACCACCAACAGATGCAAGAGATAGAGAAGATGTATGATTATCTCTATTGTTGTTGCCAATCTGTTTTCCTTGTTAATTTCTGAAAGGATAAAATGAAGCAAGATACATTAAATTACAGAAAACAATAGACTGCAAGGAGGTGAAATTTGTTTGTTTTCAGTTTGCACTTTTTACTAAAGGGAAGCATCTTGGGGATGAATATTAACCATTTATAACCTCCAAAAGAGGGAAAATTTGTATCTAATAGATGCTTTGTATGTAAGACAGCACTGGAATGGTTCATCATCTTCTTTTCAGTACCTCATGGTTGAGTATCTTCTGGGTAGTGGCAGGTTAGGGCTTGGGATTGATGCTTTTAAAGAAAGAAGTAAAGTGGTAGATTTAATATCTTCTTATTCTTCTTCTTGTTGTCCAGACCCCCACCCGTTCTTTTTATTGGGAGGGAAAGATATAGAAGGGTTTCTGAAGGGGTTAAAGTCATGCTTACCAAAGCTTTTAGATACATGGTTTCACACTCTAGTTTTGGTAGATATGACCGATTTGTTTGTAATCGTTAGCCTACGTGGATTAGTACCTGCTTGATGCCTTTCTATTTTGTTCTTCAATCACTGAAAAAGATAAATAATTTTTTCATATTGAATTTGTTATTATTAGTATCATAAGGTGGTTAAGCTATGTGTTGCCATTAAATATTGATAGCCTTGAATGACACAATCACACCCACCTCATGTTATTCATATTGGTTTTTATTATTATTTTTATTTTGTTTTTATACATGCATTGTTTGTGATTTTGTGTAATGTCTTTGATACTTACAGTTGCAGGAGTCGACAAATAATGCTGCAGCATTTGCTCGGTCATGGTTAGATACAGCAAAAGAAGCAACACGAGGTAAGACTCTTTAGTAGGATACTTTGAGAATTAAAAATCATACCTCAGTTTGACGTCCTGTTATTGGTACTTCTCTAATATCAATTCATTTTAGGACAAATTTCTTTGAAATTGGGCTATAGTCTCATGTCACTTCCCCCCCTCCCTCGCCGGTTTTCTTGAGGCTGACTGATGTAATTTTATCTTATTATGTACTAAAATGGCAAATCCTGACATGTTCAATCAATTTAAGGTTTAGGGTTTTTTTGCGATGATTTTACTTTGTTGATAATCCTCTTTCAGTTGAGTTTTCCATGATGTGAGTTGTTTCAACAGCTAAAGATTGCTGAGATACAGAGTGAATAAAATCTCATGTTCTCGTTATTCTAGAGGGAAATAATTGTTCTAAAATTGTGGTTTTATCGCCCTGAGTTTTCTTTAAATTGAAGATCCAAATTTACTGATGAACTTGTTACGGTTAAAAAGACATTTCTTTTTTACTTCAAGTTGATTCGAATTACTGGAATTGAAACCAATTAAATCACCATAAATCTGTGTAGTTTTACTTCCTCTATGACATGCTACCACAATTCCTGACTTGTGCACAGATCAAAGAAGGCTCGAGACACTCTATAATGTTGAGGTAATGATGCCCAATCCGCAAGATCCTGAACGCTTCAGTTTCTGGGTACAGTCCTCCCATTATATGGTTTTGCAGGTTTTAGTTATTTTCGATAATTTAAAGTGACTGCTAACTTATATACCCCGGTGCAGCTCGCTACTCTGTCGAATCGAAGGCCGTCAGAAAGATTGGAACTCCTGCGAATCAGAGACACGGGAGAGGTATGATTTTCCAGTCACATTGTAAGGCGGGTAAAAATCTTATAAAGAGCTCTCCATTTTAAACAACCATTTTATTTTGCAGAGAATAAGACGGGGACTAATATATCTCAGACTAGAAGGACGAGGTCGTAGGTAGAGTACAATGATATGTGAGTTTTAAGTTTTTATTGACAATATTCAAGGTTTATTTTATATTGATTCAATATTATTTGGGCCACATAATAAAAGATTGTGGATCCCAATTTTTGTTGTAAAGTCAATAGTTGCAACCAAGTTTTTCTTAATAATAATAGTAATACTTTTTTTTATTCGATAACCTATTATTAAATTTGATAATTTTACACTAAAAAAATTGATATGATTTAAAATTTTAATAAAAATTATATTTAGATTCGACAAAAATAATATAATGTTTTTTTTTTTTTTTTGTGTTAATGGAATTGTTATATGATAATTTTTAGGTTTTATACACATTTTACATGAACAAATTTACCTATCAAGAAATATCCCATATTCTTTCTACCTCTTTTAGTAAATATTCTAATTTTGATATGCTGATTTGAAGCAGAGGGACCCAAATCTGTCGATAATGTCACACTAAAACCATATTAGCTCTGTGCTTATGCTGTGGAAAAAGAGATAGAAAGTATTGAGTGGGTGAGCATTGAAAGCTGCTCAAATAAAGAAAGGCACACGAGGGTATGCGCTACCAACTTCCCTTTCGCCTCCCATCCTCTGTCTGTTGTTAAAGCTAAAATAGTGACAAAGTGGTTTTAAAGGGCCCAACGCATAGCTCGCTATTTGTTTCATATACTTATCATGTAATCTTATATCTCCTTTTACCGAGTCCTAGACCCTCATTCATCAAACAATAACAAAAACAAAAACAGATGAAAGATAACTCATTAAGATATAGATTACAGCTTTGCACGTTTGTTACTACATGCTTCCAACAAACTACCTTTTGCTTAACTGTCTTCCTACCATTTTGTCCATACAAGTTCCTTGTTGGTATTCTCTCCCTCTTTCCTTGCCTTTGCCATTCACCACCAAAGAACCAGCATGTCCACACCATCACCACCACTGTCACCGCCACATTAGCGTACCGTGGTTTCTGGCCACTGCCTTTAGCAATGGGGGGAGATCATCATAGGCTAGCAAGGCCTCTACATGTCTCCTCCCTTTCTTTTTTCTTCATTTTCCTATACCTCCTTTTGTTAAACCATTCAATCTTTGTGTTGGCAAAAGATGGAGATGTTAATCAGAAAACTTCTGCTCCTGCCCCTTCTCCCGTTGTTTCTTCTTTTTCAGCTGCATTTCGGCCTTCTGATAACTATCTTATCGATTGTGGATCTTCTACCGAAACAAAGCTTGATGATGGACGAACATTCAAGTCAGATTCTCAAACAAGTGGTTACCTATCGACCAGTGAAGATGTGCAAGTGTCAATTGATTCTATTCCCAGCAGTGCCTTCTCCAATTCTACCCCTTCGTCCATTCAGGATTTATATAAAACTGCAAGGATTTTCCTTGATCATTCAAAATACACATTTTTCATATCCAAGCCAGGGAAACATTGGGTTCGTCTCTACTTTTACCCGCTTCCTCACCCTCAGTATGATCTAAAAACTGCAGTTTTCACTATCCATACAAATAAGTTTGTCCTTTTACATGACTTCTCTGTGACTGATTATTCTAAGGTGGTTTTCAAGGAATATCTTGTTAATGCTACTGAACATTTCTCCCTCATTTTCAAGCCCAAAAAGAATTCTTACGCATTCATCAATGCCATTGAGATCGTATCTATCCCTGATGAACTTCTCTCTGATTCAGCATCTTCAGTACCCCAAGGTAACTCTGTCAACGGCTTGCTAAATTATGCTTTAGAAGTGTCCTATCGATTGAATATGGGAGGGCCGACCTTAACTCCAAAAAATGATACATTGTCAAGGACATGGGTACCCGATGCCCCATATAATGAGTTTCGTCAAGGCGCTGAAGCCGTGAGTGTGACAGCTTCAAATATCAAATACGAGCCTGATAAACGGATGACTCAATTGGTTGCTCCGAATCTGGTTTATGCAACTGCAGAAAGGATGACAACCGAGGCATATGCTGAATCTGTGGCACCGAATTTCAATCTCACTTGGGTGATGAATGCTGATGCAAGTTTTTCCTATCTCATCAGAATGCACTTTTGTGACATTGTGAGCAAGTCCCGCAATGACTTGTACTTCAACGTATATATAAACGGCTTAATGGGGGTGTCAGGTCTTGATCTCACAACCAAAGCTGGTGACTTGGCCACCGCATATTACACAGATTTTGTGCTCAATGCCACTGCCATCACAAATGATTCCATCGTGGTTCAAGTTGGTCCAGCACCCGATGGTGGTCTGCCTAATGCCATCATCAATGGCTTGGAGGTCATGAAGATGAGCAACATAGCTGATAGCTTGGATGGTTTATTTGCTATTGATGGTTCATATAAGGGGGGATCTAGCAAATTGAAAGTTGTTGCAATTTCAGGCCTAGCTATGGGATTATTAGCTATGTTCTTTCTTGGAATTGTTTGTATTAGGTGGAAGAAACGGCCTCATGATTGGCAAAAGCGAAATAGCTTCTCATCATGGCTTCTACCTATTCAAGGTAGCCACACTAGTTTCTTAAGCAGCAAGAGTAGCTCCAGGAAATCTAGCATCTTCGGCTCCAGAAAAAGTAAGAGTGGATACTCCAGTTTTTACTCTAATAAGGGTTTTGGGAGGTTCTTCACTTTGAATGAGTTAAAAAACGCAACTCAGAATTTTGATGAGAAGACAGTTATTGGTGTTGGAGGGTTTGGGAAAGTGTTTCTTGGGGCTCTAGAAGATGGAATCAAGATTGCTATCAAAAGAGGAAACCAGGGTTCAGAACAAGGCATAAACGAATTCCAGACAGAAATACAAATGCTTTCCAAGCTCAGGCATCGCCATCTTGTATCACTCATAGGGTTCTGTGATGAGGAATCAGAGATGATTCTGGTTTATGAATATATGGCTAATGGTCCACTTCGTGACCATCTCTACGGCTCAAACAAACCAACTTTGTCCTGGAAACAACGGCTTGATATTTGCATTGGTGCAGCTCGAGGATTGCATTATCTCCACACTGGTGCAGCACAAGGAATTATCCACCGTGACGTAAAGACTACAAATATACTTCTTGATGAGAATTTTGTAGCCAAAGTGTCAGATTTCGGCCTTTCAAAAGCTGCACCTATGGAGCAAGGCCATGTTAGCACTGCAGTGAAGGGTAGCTTTGGCTATCTTGATCCTGAATACTTCAGGAGCCAACAGCTTACTGAGAAATCTGATGTTTACTCTTTTGGTGTACTCCTTTTTGAGGTTTTATGTGCAAGGGCAGTTATTTGTCCAGGGCTCCCAAGGGAGCAGGTTAGTTTGGCCGAGTGGGCCATGCAGTGGCATAGGAAAGGCATGATTGAGAAGATAGTTGACCCAAAAATTGCAGGGAGCGTTAGTGAAGGATCACTCAAAAAGTTTGCAGAAGCTGCAGAGAAATGTTTAGCAGAATATGGAGTTGATAGACCTAGCATGGGAGATGTGTTATGGAACTTAGAATATTCACTACAGCTTCAAGAGGCTTCCTCACAGATTGAACCACCAGAAGATAAGAGCAACCTTATTGTTTTGGAAAATCCAAGTGAAAATGATGACTTCATAGCCAACCCTGCGGCTGCGGCTCGTGCTGCTGCTGCTATTAGTGATGATTCTGATGTAACAGTTGGTTCTCAGTTACATTTTCCTCATGTGGGAAATGTCCAGGGAAGGTAAAAAAAATCAAATGGGAATCGGCAGAATTTGAAACCCATGTCGATAACTCTTTTAGCAGTGAGGGGTTTGCTTCATAGCTTTCATTCAAGTTGGAAATTCATCACAATCCTTTCCCCAACTCCTAAAATGCTTTTGTTTTGTTTGTAGAATGTGTTGTGCAGATCTTTTTTAGTGCTTTTGTTTTTCTATCAAGGCTTGTTGCATAGTAATGAAACCAAAAAAATAAAAATAAAAATAAAACTTGTGAGCTTCGACTTCAATATTTGTTGTATAGCAGCCGAGCAGCACTCCTGGTGCTTAATTTGTATGCCATGGTGGGAGGATTCCGACCGTGCCTTGGTGCTGCTTTATGATTGGAAATCTACGTCCAAATCAAGTCCTATTAAAATGGATTCATATTGTGATAAGGGATTGTTCCATTTTGATATGCAAAAGAAACAAAAGTCCAAATGAGCAACGTTATTCTCTCCCCCTCAATGTGTTAAATATCAACTTTCTTCCAGTTTTTGAAAAAAATTTGCCGACATTCTTTATCAATTTTCAATGCTACAATACTGACCAGTGGTTGAATAAATGAACCATTTCTGTTTTTTTTTTCTTTAGGGTAAAAAAAAAAGATCAGTCATCCATGCCATGTCAAATCCAGGTTGTATCTAACTGCAAACGTGCTTGCATGCATTTCCACGTTTATCATTCAATGAATGCTATTCCACTAAATAATAAGTTATTCTTGGCTGAGACCCCAAAATGGCAATCTATTACTTGTCTATTCCCTTTTCCTAAGAAACAATTTTTTTTTTTATTGTATACTTTTTGAAATTTCAAAATTATCCGATTATTATGCATATTTATATGATTTTTTTTTTATCATTCTCTAAATTTTATCTTTTTTTTATCTTAATTTACAAAAAATTATAATAGTAAAATAATATACTTTTCTCTTTTTTTTTTTTTTAAAATTTTATCAACAATGAATGAAAGGAATTATTTTTTTTTATCAATTTTTTCATAACTTTCAACTTTTTTCTTTTTCAAAATCTCCATCTTTTCTTGCTTCCATTCACTCTACTAAACAAAATCTTAGGATGTGTTGTAAGGTAATAACTTTACAAGCCGGTCATTGTTTGATAAATATTTAATATAATTGTTCAAAGTAAATTGGAAATTTCCGGTAGAAACCTTCAAGGGGAAATGGAAAGGAACCTAGAGGGAAGAGATGCATGCAAGTAGTACTAGAAATTGCAACACATTATAAAGCATAAACCTTTGGATGCCTGAATTTTCCATGGTTTAGATAGCTTAAAGAAATTCTAGCAAATCAACATGGAATAGAAATGCAAGTATTTCAATTGTTGACAATATTTCTAGAATTTAGCTTCTGCAATTTAAGTCAGAAGCATGGAGGACAAAGGAGAAGGAAAGACTTTCATATTCCATTATGCTTTCCTCAAATGAGGTATAAGGCTGTTAAACAATAAAATTAAGACGGTATCCATAGTGCAACCCTTGGATAAACAACACTAAACGTCACAAACAAAAATCAGAAACAGATGCATGCCTTTTCTGCGAAACAAACATCAAAGAATTGGAAATTTGAACAACCAAGGTGAGCATGCTAATGAGTCAGCTTAAAATATAGGATAAACAAGATGGCAAGAACTAGGGCTGCAATTATGGATCCAATTATCCATTTGTTCCTGCTCATCCTTCTTGACATGGTTGTCAGGATCTTTTTGCTCCTGCTAATGTTGTCATCTACTCCATGGAGCTGCAAAAGTAAGAAGCAATTTTGTTGCATATTCAGATATAACTATAGCTCTGCTGTCTGATTAGAAAAACAAATTTACCCACACAAACATACTAGAGACAATAGACCCTATTTTGGAACCCAAGATTGGGTGAAAAGCATACAGTGTTATGCGCATGAAGGAGAGATTGGCGTTGTTGATGCAAGTCCTGTAGGATTGAAACACCCAGTTCTTCTGTTTCCAGCATTGCTTTTCTGCTTTCCTTAATTCTGTCAGTAGACTGGTTTAATCTCTCTGTTGACATCAATAATCTTCCTCTTTGATCAGCAGAGACCTATGCCATCGTTAAACAATGAGTGTTTACAACAAGATGTAAAGATATTTATCATAAATTCAAAAGGGGAGAAAACCTACATATTTTACCCAGAGCACAGCATTCTCCCAGTACAATAAGATGCAAAGCCAAAACATTAACAGATTTATAGAGCAATTCTTACAAAAATAAATGTTTCACATGTTTTTGCTAGTGCATATTAGCATATGTTGCCATGGATTTGCATATATGTTATGCACAAGTGTGTTAATTACCTACTCCACAATTTCTTCCTCTAGAAACAAAATTACAAACCTAGGATTGCTACCAATAGACAAGCAGCAGTCTCAGAGACACATGTAAGGTGAAGTGGCACCAGACCCCAAACTTTTTAACCTTGTATAATGAGTCAATGTTCATTTTCCCTCTCATTTTAGCTCCATCAATCTGAAAATTCTGGTTTCAACGCACAGCATCTGGTAAGCAGAACATGTCATATATTTAAAGCACGAGACTTGGAAAAATGGGTACTTTGGAAAGTTTATACTATGGGCTTGGCTGTTGTCAAAGTGTAAAGTAATTGTAACAATCATGTGAAGCAATAAGACCTAGAGGATATGCTTTACAGACCTTATAAAATAATAAGGAAAAATATAACAGTAGATGATAGCTTAACCACACAAATATTAAGTTCAAAATGATGGCCGTTTAGAGAAAAGAGAATAGTTTCAGTTACCATCATCGCATCTGCCATTCCTGACTGCAACCGCTCATCTTGGGCAGCCTGATTTGCATTAGCTGAAGTAATTCGTTTAACTTCAGTCTTCAAGTTGTTTAGATCATTTTTATATTCTCTTAATTTAGCAAGAAATGTTGCCTTTAAGCTTGGCTGTAAACTCCTTGCTTCAAGGTCCATTTTCCGAATCTGGAACAATTCAGACAGGAACCAAATTACAACTCATGGAATGTAGAAAGAGATACAAATATAACCACAGAAAATGGGTTCTACAATACCAAAGCATCAGCATCATCCAATCCTGCTTTTATTTCAGAAAGTTTTTGCTTCTTCTTCTCTGTAAATCAAGAAAATATAAAACAAAAGAAGTCATAGAATGCACGACAAACTACACATTAAACATCGATAATCTCCAAACCAATCTTTCTACAATAAATATATATAAAACACATGATAATACACATTATGCATAAACACCAAATAATTCATCCGCACATGCTGTGTGATGTCTGTCGCTTGCAGTGTTAGAATGCAGTTTTTCTCCCCAATCCACTCAAAAAACCAGAGGCGGATCCAAATGGGACAGAAGGTGTCCATGGACACCTCCAAAGATTCGAAAATAAGAAAATCTGAAATCCCCAAAAATTTCCCCGGAACACCCTTTCCATAGATAAAATTGATAAATCTGTTGACAACTATATTATATATATATATATATATATATATATATATATAATAAGTGGATCGTCCTTAAAAATCCTAGATCCTCAATTGCAAAAAAACACATGGAGACACTGAACCTAATGCCTGAGTAACCCTCAAATATCATTTTACCAGTTGAGCAAAAACCTAAGGATTTGCAACTAAGACACATTTCCCTAGTACGTCATCAGCATAATCAAACAAAAATTTAGACCGATTGGGGAAGGGATCGAGGACGAGATAAAACGGCAGCGTATCATTTACCTCCATCAAGAACGCTGGCGGAGGTGCATTTTAGCGTCAAATTGGCGGAGAGGTCGCAGTACTGGCGCTCATAACCGTCGAATACCTGACTCATTTGGCTCCAATCTCTAGCCCGCCAACCTACATTCATCACCATTTTCTTATTAAAAAAATAGAAAAGTGAAATTAAAATTGAATAGATGGGTGATGCACGAACCGGAATGGCGCAGGAGAGATCACCGGAGATGAGATATAGAAGGAATTGATTGTTTCCTAATGGAAGATGCAGTATTGCAATTTCAGTTAGGAGGTCGTTAATGCCCTTGTCTTTCCCTTTAATTTAGCGTTTCTGCCACTTTCCGTTGATTACCGTTACAAACTTTTTTCCAAAAGATAAAATCCACATCAGCATTCTATTCCACGTCAATATCTTCTTCCTTCAATCCATACGTAGATTTGTGAGTGTGTGTTTGTGTTTTTTTTTTAAGAAAAAAAATTCCCAAAGTGTCAAAATTCCATCCAATGGAACTTCTTCCAGCAATCCATTACAAGCTCTCCTTGATCTTCATAAGCTTCAGAAAATAAGATAAGATCATCAGCTAAGAAGAAGCCCTATCAAACCTGTAGAGAATAGGCTGATGACTATCCCTATGACTTGGAATTTATCGAATTGGGAGTAAGAAGGTAAATGATAAATTAGTATTTATAAATTATTTGAGTTTAATTAAAATAAAATTTAAATTTGATTAAATTATTATCAAATTAATTTTAATTAATTTAATTTATCGATCGAATTGAATTTAAATATTATTATATTTGATTTAAGTAATTTATAAGATTAATTAAATTTTTATTTTTAATATATTTTTATCATTTTAATTAATAAAATATCTCGAACTCAAACTTGAATTTGAGTACAAATAATTAAATTTTTATCGAATATAAAAATTAAACTTATATTTATATGTTAATCGAACTAATCAAACGAATTTGAATAATTTAATTTTTATCTCAAATCAAACTCAAATTAAAAAAATAAAATTCAATCAAATTTAAAAAAAAATTTGAATCTTAAATTTTGAATCAAATTTAAATTTAAATTTAATATTATATTAATTCAAACTCAATCAATTATATCTTTAATTAAAACGGTTCGGCATCCCATAACTGTTGGCTACTCTTCCCCATCATGATGAGTTTTGAATGACAGTGGCACCTGAAGCAACCAACGTGGCTTGTGGGAGAACAAATGCAATTGTCTTCTTGGATTCCAACACTACTGGTTTGGTCTCCATCACACTCTTCTTTGGCCTCGTCAATTCTTCTTCTTGATTTGAAGAATCCTCATTGGAGAGTAGGCCTATGGAAATTGAGAATCATTTTGAAGAACGATGACAAATGGGTCGCCAACGAAGAAAGAGAAGATAATAGGATAGAAGAAATGAGGCAATGACATGGAAAAACAATCTGACGTGGAAGCTAATTAAGTTAAAATATCTTTGTATTGGAATAAAGTTTAAAATTATTCTAATCAAGGAATTAAGATTAGAAAACATCTTGATTTGAGAAAACCTCTTTTAATTAAAATAATGAAAATTGGTAGGTTTTTTCTAATTTGAGAATATAATTATCTTATTATTATCAAAAAATTAAGAATATAATATTTTATTAATAAATTATATTATTTTTACTTCATTTTTTAAAGTGTTAATGTTAATATTGGTTTCTAAATTATAATAAAATATTTAATGTAATATATGAATTTAAAATTTTTTTAAAATGATACATAAATTATGAATATATTAATTAATTTGATATTTATAAAATTATTTATCCATCGTATATCATTATTTAAAATTAACTACTTTAGGGGTGAATGATATATTAATTATAAATTTATAATTCAGATATTACATTAAATGTTTTATTATAATTTAAAGATTATATATGATATTATCTCTTTTTAAATAATCATAAAAATAACACTTAAGGAAGCCAAACATATTTCAACATTATTATGTAAACATAATATTTATCATTATTATTATTATTATATTATTAAAAAATTTATATCAAATCCAAAATTTTAATTTACATAGTGGACATGCAGTATTTAGTATTATTAAAATATTTGATTCAATTGGTGTAATGAGTTAACCGATTGTTAATTTAATTAATGAAATTAGTGCTATTCATGTTTTATTATATAGATGAAATAAATAATTAAATATTTTAAAATTTATTAACAAATAAAAAATTAATCATTTTTAAATATAAAAGAGAGAAAAGTAAAATAATTACATGTATAATTTTTTGAAATAAAAAAAGAAGTTGATTAAAAAATATGATTATAAAATATATTTCAAAAAATTAGGTTACTAATATAACCTTATTAATATACTGTTTTATTTTACAATTTGATTTTCATATATTATCTTCAATTCCATCGATACTCTAAAATTTTAGAAATAGTATTAATTCTATGACTATCTATTAGAAATGTAAATGATATATTAATATTTATAAAATATTAAGATTTGATTCAAATAAAATTTAAATTCGACTCGATTATTATTGAATCAAGTAGCTTGATTTATCGATCAAATTAAGTTCGAATATTTTTATATCGACTCGAATAACTTGTAAGTCTAATCGAATTTTTATATTTTAATATATTTTAATTAATAAAATATATTGAACTCGAGTTTGAGCATAAATAATCGAACGTTAATCGAATATAAGAATCGAAATTATTTTTTATATTTTAATCTAACTTAATCAAATGAACTCGAGTAATTTGATTTTTATCTTGAGTCGAATTCAAGCTAAAAATTTAAAACTGGATAGAATTCGAGTCAAATTTCGAATTTTGAATTTCGAATTAAAGTCGAGTTTGAACTCGATCAATTATACCCCTATCACTCATTATTGGATGAAAATATAAAAAATTATAATTATCTGATTCTAAACATAAAAAATAAAATAAGTTAATATGGAATTATATAAAAATATTCAAACTGAGGATTGATTTTTTTAAAAAAATTAAACATAAATTCAATTCTTACTTTCACAAAATAATAAAAGGCTTAAATATGTTTAAAAGCATATCTTTCATTTTATATTTATTTTCTGAGTAATTTTATCAATTAAATTGGTGTCACTTGAGTTACTTATACATCAAATTTATTAAAAGCTTTTAAATATATTATAGGTAAATAGATAATAATAATAATAATATAAATTCTTGCGAAAACGAAGCTCCCACTAGAAGGTTATTGAAAATTTTCTTATGGTCAGTTAAGAATTTAAGTTCTAGTTTGGATTTTGGAAGATAAGGACTTTAATTATGCGGAGTGTTTGCGAAAAAAGAAGGATCATAAGGCAATGAAGATATTGATTTCGGATCTTAGGAATGGGGGGCGAGTAATGGAAAGCCAGGCTTTTAGTGTTGTAGCTGAGATGTTGGTTAAATTAGGGAGAGAAGATAAGGCAATGGGTATTTTTAAGAACTTGGAAAAGTTCAAGTACCCGCAGGATGGTTTCAGTTTGATTGCAATTGTTGATGCTTTTGTGCTAAAGGGCATGCTAGGAAAGCTCAAGGTATTGTTTATCATCACAAAGATAAGATTGCTGGTGATGAGCCTTGTATATACAGGAGTCTCCTTTATGGGTGGTCTGTTCAGGAGAATGTGAAGGAAGTTCGCAGAGTTTTCAAGGAGATGAAATCGGCTGGTGTTGAGCTTGATTTTACTGCTATATTTAATACATCCCTTAGGTGCCTTTGCGGGAAACATGTTAAACGTAATCCTTCTGGCCTTGTTCCCCGGGCTCTGAATGTGACGATGGAAAGATTAGAAATAATAACTCAAATAATGTATGAGATTCATTTGAGATTTGTTAGAGATTTTTTTAAGATTGATAAGATATTATTTGATCAACAAAAAGATTTGGTAAAAAAAAAATTTTAAGAAAAAATAATTCTTAATAATCAAGTTTGACTTGTAAAAAAAGAATTAAAAAAAAAGATTTTTAGTATGTAAATTTGTATGATTATAAATAGATAAAGTTTCTATAAAATTGATATAAAAAAAGATATAAGAGAGTTATAAGATTTTGTGGGATAAATACTTATAAGAGTACTGTGACTTTATATGTGTATATTTATTTGTGAGTAGACAAAAAGAAACTGAGAGAGTTTACATAAATATGATGTATTGGTGCATATGTGTATATGTTTAGTTGTTTGTTTGTGAGTAGATTAAAGTAGATCGAGAAAGCCCACATAAATGTGATGTATGAATGCATATAAATATATATTTAGTTGTGTTGAAATGGTACATATGAATACGTGTTTGTTTGAGTTAAAAATATTTTATAAGACTAATGAAGATTGAGAAGGTCTATATCTTATTAATTATTGAGTGATTAATATCTTTTGATGTATGTTTATAATTCTCTATAATTAATGGATCTTATTTCTCATCCGTAAACGTAAATCAATTAAATCGAATTACATTAAATTATTATTTTTTATGTATTTGATTCATTGTTTGATTGTCAACTGTATTCAGTTAGTAAAACAAAAGTGTTTCTTGATGAGAGAAGTTGGCTTAACTGAACTTGTACAACTTTTTCTGCTCTTTCTTACATTGCCTTTTAAAAATGATGCCGTCGACTTAGTTTCATGGGTCTCTATTATTCTATGGCTTGATATCAATGGTTAAGTTTTAGCATATTACTGGATTCTGGCCATATTGGGCTTTTAATAGACTCTTTCTTGCCATTTTAAACATCCATACATCATATATCCTTCCTGCTTCAAGTTTGTGAACTGCATCTTGCATCGTTTAAATTTTTTACTTGCCTTTTTCGTCGTTGTGACTTAACAAGTTCCAGAAATTTGGGAATTCTGCAGTTTGGTAGAAGAAGAAGCCATATACAGAAAACAATTCAATATGCTTGAAGCACATTGGAAATTTGTGTAGATATTGGGCAAGACGTGAGCACCAATAATGAAATTTTTTTAATTCCAAAATCTTCTTGCTTTCTTCTACTGCAGTTTGCAGGAGCAGTCCATCTAGCAAGCAAAGCAGTGAAAAGGGTTTGTATACTCATAGTGAAGTGGGTAGCAGGTTAGTATGGGAAGTTTCACTTCATCATTGTTTTGCATTGCCAAGATTTTCCCACAAGCTAACACATTCTTTGGGGGCTTGTAATGAATGAGGGAGGGGCAAATTGGTGACCAAACTGATCATGAGTGAGAGCTGAAGCTAAAGTAAGCAAGTGGATTTTGCACATGGCACGTGGAACAGGGTTTTGAGGCAGCGGTTGAGATGAGATCAGGCATGGATCCTTCCTTCTTCCTTCCTGTCCAACATCCTCCACCATCACTCACGCGGCATGTCTATGTAATCCACTCTGTTTAACCGACGTCGGGTGTTGTTGGTAATAGGTAATATTACTAACTACTAACAAATACGCAACAAGAATAAGATTGATGGGAGAGCACTTTTCTCATTGCTGATTTCACCACCACCCTTTTTTATTAGCTCAAATAAGGGATTGTTTAGAGTTTAAATTATAATCTATTAAAAAAATCAAATTTAATATTTGAAGAAATTTAATATTTGAAGACGTGTTTTAACTCTTACGTCAACGAAATATTTGAGAAAAAAAAATAAAGAAAAATAAAATAGTCTGAGAATTTGATTTTTTTAAAATAAAATTTTAATTTTAAATTTTATGAATGAAAAAATTATATTTTTTTTATGAAATGCGATCTGATTTTGGATTAATTAGAGTCCAAAATAATTATCAAATACTAAAAATTTCAGATAAAAAAAATGTGATAATATGTTTTTATAATTAATATTTTTTTATTCGTTTTTAGATTACGGGAGAATGGTCGCATCTCCAATTGGCGATAGCTCAAAACCAATAAAAATTATAGTTAAATGATGATAAATTCTTTATATACACATGTAAAGAAAATTATAAACAACTAAAGCAAATTTTTAGTGGTAAGTCGGCAGATAAGCTGTCATGCACTTCAAATTAAAGAACAAAAAATGGAAATGGGATGAGTTGGATGCATGTTGTTCATGAATTTGACATTGACATATTGACCTCACTTCCCATTTCTTCCCACCAATCCTATTCGGTGTTTGGACGCATGTTTTCTCCACTTTCTCTATCAATTCCCCCAATCTCAATCTCTCACAATTCCCATCTTCTTCCTACAATCCATACTTTTCTGGGGTTTTACATTTTCACTCACTTTTAAAACCTCAGAAACAGGAAAAACACAGTAGATATGGCGTGCCAATGCCATGGATGATCTAGTCCTATACATTTAGACAGATTTATTATACAGTGAAAGAGAGAAAAGAAAACTTGGGTTGGAGAGAATAACCCTTATGGGTCAAGATAATTTCACTCCCCAGAAGAGATCTTCTACTGGCGGAGGCGGAGGCTTACCCACGACCAACAATGCGGTGGCCGGTGCAGGAAGAACCCGTGGATTTCCGGGAATGCCGCGTGGCAGGCAGATCCACAGGACCTTCAACAATATTAAAATCACAATCCTGTGCGGCTTTGTTACGATCCTTGTCCTACGTGGAACCATTGGTGTCGGCAATTTGGGAAGCTCCGAAGCCGAAGCTGTCAACCAAAACTTGATCGAAGAAACCAACCGGATCCTAGCTGAGATCCGCTCTGACTCCGACCCTACCGATCTGGACGAACCTCCCGAAACAGAGATCAACCTCAATATTACATACACCCTCGGGCCTAAAATTTTGGAATGGGATCAGCAGCGAAACGTTTGGCTCTCCCAAAACCCTGAATTCCCTAATTTTGTTAATGGCAAAGCTCGAATCTTGCTTGTTACGGGGTCGCCCCCAAACCCGTGTGATAATGCTATAGGAGACCATTATTTGTTGAAAGCGATAAAGAATAAGATTGATTATTGTAGGCTTCATGGGATTGAAATTGTTTATAATATGGCTCATTTAGATAGAGAATTGGCAGGGTATTGGGCGAAATTGCCTTTGATTAGGAGGTTAATGTTGTCTCATCCGGAAGTCGAGTGGATTTGGTGGATGGATAGTGATGCATTTTTTACAGATATGGTGTTTGAGATTCCGTTGTCCAAGTATGATAAGTATAATTTGGTTGTTCATGGGTACCCCGATTTGATGTTCGAGCAGAAGTCGTGGATTGCTTTGAATACGGGGAGTTTTCTGTTTAGGAATTGTCAGTGGTCGTTGGATTTGCTTGATGCGTGGGCGCCAATGGGCCCGAAGGGTCCAATTCGAGAGGAGGCTGGGAAGGTTTTGACTGCTAATTTGAAAGGAAGGCCGGCATTTGAAGCAGATGATCAGTCGGCTTTGATTTACTTGTTGCTTTCGCAAAAGGATCAATGGATGGATAAAGTGTTTCTTGAGAATCAGTATTATTTGCATGGGTACTGGGCAGGGTTGGTTGATAGGTATGAGGAGATGATGGAGAAATATCATCCAGGCTTGGGAGATGAGAGGTGGCCGTTTGTGACTCATTTTGTTGGTTGCAAGCCCTGTGGAAGTTATGGAGATTACCCTGTTGAGAGGTGCTTGCGCAGCATGCAAAGGGCTTTCAATTTTGCTGATAACCAGGTGCTTAAGCTGTATGGGTTTAGACATAGGGGACTTTTAGGCCCCAACATTAAGAGGATCAGGAATGAGACAGTGACTCCTTTGGAGATTGTTGATCAGCTTGATATTCGCCGTTCAGCACATGGAAAAAGTGAATCATAGAGCTAACAATTGAAACATATTTAATGTGTCATACGTGTAGGTAATGTAATTTCTAAGTTGAAAAGCAAATTTCAATTTGATAACAGTTTTAAGTTTGAGTAGGTTTTGATAATCTATTGTCATTGTGCTGCTGTTTAGAACAAGAGTTAGAATTCTTTCATTAACTTCAATATGTCTTTCTTTGATATTTGAGTGATTTATAAAGGAAATTTATAGTGGACGTTACATCATTTGTTTTGTTGCATTGTTTTATGGCACTTGGACTTAATTTCACTTGTCTTAAATTTCTCCTTGTCTGGTATTGAATGAAATGAAGGCTTTGGTTTCCATGTCTTTATTGGTCAAGCAGCAAAAAGAGGACCAAGAGGGAAGTTTAAATTGTTGATAAGCAGTCAATTAGAATGTTTAGTTTCATATTATGATTTTACTTTAATTTCTGCCAAGATGTAAGACGCTACTTTCAAATTGATCAATCTGCTTTTGTTTTTAATCCTGCATGCAATGTAGTTTATTAGTTGACAGCTTCGACATGCTAAAAGCATGTATTATGCAGTCTTCTTTTTGAATGTGCCATGATAAATGCTTATAAATGCTTGAGCCCTTACCTAAGTAAGCATTACTCTCTATTGACTGTTCTTTTGATCTATTTGTTTTATGTGATGCATACAATAGAATCCTGATCATTATAAGCAGTAACTTTCTGACATAAGTAAACTGTGCTGTTCTGGATCCTACATATTTCACATCCACATTCGTTGCTTTAAACTTAGAGCGGTGACCCTTCATAAAGGTAGAGTTTTTTGTATGGCACTTACAAATAACTTGTATATTGCTAATTACACATTACCTTCCTGAGTCGAAGCTCCTTGCACATTACCTTCTTTGTGTTTGCTTTGCCTCGTAGTTCAGAAGCAATTAGTAGGATGATGGAAACTTGTCTTCTTAAAGGCTAGAAGCCAAGACTTTGTTATTTTCATCGGAATCATTTTATATGGAAATGCCATGTGCTCTAGTATTTTAGGTAGGAATTGTAGTAACTTTAGATGCTCTTGAAAATTGCACATGCCCTGGTTCATATTTCTTGAATGTGTTTTTATTACATGTGGAAGTAGTCCTACAAGAGTTGTGGCTTTAGAAGTTTCCATAGGTTGGAGAGGTGATTCATTTTTGGTTCAAGATGCTAATGGACTAATGCATGAGATGGTAAATTTTCAGTTCCTAAAGCTTTCATGTAGCATTGTTTACATCCATTTCTAGATTCACATGAACAAAAGTGGGTTTAGAAGAATCAATTTGCCTCGGATCAATCTATCACATGAACAAAAGTGGGTTTAGAAGAATCAATTTGCCTCGGATCAATCTAGTTAGTTAAAATTAATATAACATGTTCGTGATTCATTTATTTAATTAACGAATCTTGAAATGTTATACGTAAACGAATATAAATTATACATATTCACAAATTATTCATTGAATATTATTTTCATTTACTTTTGCATTATAAACAAACTAAAATGAATGATTTTTATTATTATTATGATATGTTAGTTTAATTATCGATTCTTGAAATATTGTTCTATAATTATTTGTTAAATTTAATAATCGAAAAGAAGCCTCCGTGAACTGTTTGTTTACGCCTTAAAGAGCAACCTTAAATCAGATGAATAAAGCCATATACACTCACTAATACTTATTATATTTTATAAATTTGGGAAAATATAAGTAATAAAATATCCTCCATAGACAAACCGAATTTCAACCACTATTAAAGATCTCAATTTTCGCCTAAAATGTGGAATGCGATCACTCAGTCGCGGGATCGCCATCAATTTGATGGGTCTTGGACTTGATCTTGAACCAGATGCTGTCAATCTGTCAACTTTGAAACTAGAGCTTTATGACGTGCTACCAATACTTGATTCATTTGAGCAATCTGGTTTAACAGTCCTGCAATTTTCTGTAGAGAATATATATATATATATATATATATATTTAAATCCAAAATTCATTACCGAAAGGAAAAAATGATGTTAAATCCAACATAAATTTCAAAGACTTACAAAAACAAATACTATTATTAACACAAGCATTTCAACAAACACCTTACCTCATCTTTCTCCTTTATAATCGTCTTCAACTGTAACATGCTCTCTTTCCGACGTTGGCGCCGCCGTACCCGCTTGCAAAACGACCACAACAGCACCACCGCCGCTACGCCAATAACTCCTCGAACAGACAGAAATGCCCTTCCAATTGTCCCGTTTCTATAACCGAAATAACAAGCGAGGCTAACGATCTTAGCACGCAAAATCTGAAGCCCAATTCCCAACCATTCTCCAATCCCACGATCAGTGGACGAGGGGACGACGTCGCTGGCATCTGACGGTGGTAAAAGTGTCGATTTGATAGGTGGGATCTGTTGCTGTTGCTGTTCTTGAATTTGGTGATGGAGATTTTCATGGTTGATGGGAGGGAAGACGGACAAGTCGTTGTGAGAAACAGAGTCTCTGATCATTACCATCGACCATTGCTCCTTTATTTGATGATTGGATTTCGGTTTTGAGGATTGTTTTTCTTTGTGCTGATTAATGGAATGGAACTTTTCCCACTCAAATAATAAGCCTTCTAAAATTCTATCATATTCTACCATTTTGGTAGGCTGTATTAAAAAACAAAAGAAAGCAACAAGCTAATTGCATCTTCTTGCTGCTCCCATTTTAATTGGAAGAAGGCCTGTTGTTTTCCTTGCTGGTTTACACAGTAAATTGTATAATTTTTAAAGGGTAAATAATTTGTTTATTTATATTTTGTTTAATATGCTAATTATTTATTATAATTTGTATCCACGAAAAAAAAAAAAAAAATTCATTCATGCATGGTTGACCAGCCAAACCTTAACGACGTCTAGTTGACAGAGTTGGATGATATTGTATCACTGACACTGACAAGTTCTGAAATGGGTTGGGAGGCATCATTTACCACTTTCAACTGAAACAAGCAACATCAGCATAAATGTAAGATTGTGATTTGAAACATGAATATTCTTGCTGGTTATCATAATCAAAGGGCACCAAGTTCTGAAGATCTGTTCATTCACACTGATTCATTTGATTGACAAATGGAGGCAGGAAGTCGAAGAAATAGAAATAAATATATAGAAGTGGCTTCATCAATGCTTTTAATTTCATTGAAAAACTCCCACAAGATTTTACATTCTCATTTGAGAACAATTATGGAAAGTTTCACTTCTTACAAAGAAAAACTGGAAATGCCTTTGGTTATACTGTTTAAATTTGAACCATGGAAACAATACAACTACAAAGTGTGATCTCCACTGACAGGGGAACTGGTTCGATCAAGAGCTTCCTTATATTAGTTCCTTCAGCTGCGGCTGACTTCAATAAGGTGAACCAGGGTGACTTGGCATCATGATGGAAGCACTTTGCAATAACTTAATC